AGCTGTTGCAGGATTTCTACTTCGAGAGAAGCCAAGGAAGAGCCCCTGATGAATGTTCTGAAGTGAGGTTATCAGAGAGGGGACTGCGGGCTTTCTGGTGAAAAAGGTGTCATTATGGGCAAAGCCACTTCAGATCCACTGATGTTATCGCGGCCGGAAACTGGGCCAGAAGCACTTACATAGAGAAATAACCTCGTCATTTTACCGTGAATCTGGTTAAGCAACGACAAATTAAAAGTGGAAAATTTAGTTATGCAGGATAGGTCGGGCTCGATCCCTAAGAGTTCAAAATGTCCGGAGGGAGGACGGATGCCCGGAGCGAAACCCTGGTTTGCGCCCTCCGGTGCTCATCTTGACAAATGAGGCCAGGAACCGTCATTTCCTCTAACCTCCTTCCTGCTCACTCCAGCCTGTGACTAGCTCCAAGCTGCAATTCATTTTTCTCTTTCCCATCATAACGTCCTTCCAGAACCTGCTTGTCTGAATGTCAATTTGCATGACAATCCTTGTCTGACCAAATTTCTGTTGTTTGTGTGCAGTTACAGCAGCTCCCACCGACTCAACTGGGCTCTTGGCTGCTGAGTGGGAGGCTGGGGAGCACCATGCAGTGTTCCCAATGCGCCCGGAGGTGCCCTGAGTGCAGCTGCCCATATGGCATCTAACGGGGGCCGCCTCTTTGGACCCACTCTTTGGGGTCCTAGATGTCCCTGGGGGCGGGACTTTTTGGAGGCTGGTGGGTGAGGAGGCCTGCTCACCCAGGACTGACCAGACAAAGCTCAGAGTCCGGCTCAGCATGGAGTGGCCGGGGCCCCTGAGGGTGACCACCTCCGGCAGAGCTGTTTCCATGGGCACTCAGACCTGTGCTCCTTTAGGACAACCCCAGTCACTCGCCATGGACAAGTCTGCATAAGGAGGGGCCCCTAGCCCCAGGCGCTGCGGGGGGGGAGGACACGCTGCAGCTGCCAGGACAGAGAGGGAGGCAGGCTCCTGGAGGAGGAGGATGAACAGAACACCATCAGGCCCTCCCCTCTCTCCCGTCGGCTCTCAGCTCCTGAACTTTGGCCAGTCTGGGAGGGGGAGGAGGGGACAAGGCCTCAAACACAGAGCACACAGAACTTAAAAAGGGGGCGCTTTCTCCCTGGACTTCACTTTTGTCTGCGGCGGGGAGGAGATGCTGTCATTGCGGAGTCCTCTCATCATAAACGCCAGAAAAGCATAACCAGGAGAGCAATGTCTGCCGTCGTGGCGCTGCTGCCAACACGTGACTCTATGTCTTTGTGCGAATCTGTCACTGGCACAGGCAGCTCCTGCCCTCAGCGAGTGACAGCGCCACCGACACCTGGACTGGCACAAACACTGAAATAAAGAGGAAACCTGTTCGGGACCCTTTAGTGCCCCTGCACCTGACGGACCGGGATGGCCTGGCCTCGGCAGTTAAACACTGAGGTTTCACAGGCGGAAATGCTCACCGGGCCCGGGACAGTGAGCCCCCTCCTTATGTTCCCCTTCTTACTGTTTCCACACACTGGCTGCTGACAGCACACGAGGAAAAGCTGACACAAGCCTTTGGCCAATAAAACAAAAACAAAACCCATTCGGCTTATTTACGTTTGGCTTTGTTGGTGAACTGGAGGGCTGGCCTGGCGGGAGCCCGGGGCATGGACACGCGGTCAATCCCGCCATGCGGGCTGCCTCGGCGTCCGTGGTGTGAGGGCCACCAGGCCCCGGAGCCCCAGCGACAGTCATGCCCCAACGGTTTCTCGTCCTGCACCGCAGACTGCCCTGGAGGACCAGCCAGGACCAGCACACACAGTGCGATGGGCACTTGGTTAGAAGGGAAAAGGGTTACCATCATGCATTTCAGAACCAACGGCATCGGGTTTGGACTTGCTTGGTTTACGTGTGTTTGTATCTTCGTGCACATTACCAACCAGAAAGAGAGTCATTCATTTCTTTCTCTAAATGTAAATACACTGGCATAAAGGAGGGAGAGATGAAGACAATAAGTGAAAAGAGGAAAACGGATAATGGCCGGGGTGGGGGGGGGTGTGGGTGTCCTCAGATGCTTGTTTACATTAAACACCAGGGCTGTGGCCCTCCTCTGACTACAGAGCCCAGCCGTGTGCAGACAAAGGAGACATCCACAGCGGCCTCCATCCTGCCCTGCAAAGGCAGGAAGGAAAGCCCCGCTGAGCGAGGGCCGTGCCAGGCGCCGGTGCCAGTGTGTCACAGCGTGTTCCCATGGCACTCAGTGTGCGAGGCAGCACGATCGGAGGACACATTTGCAGCGGGTGGAGGGACGGTTTAACGGCAAGAAACAGACTCAGCCATTTGGGACGCTGTCCTGGCTGTGTTTATCTCGCCTGTGATCCTTCTCATTAGCTGTCAATCTCATTACCGGGGCAGAGATGGCGGAAAACGATCGCTTTCTCAGCAAGCCCTGGGAAAGCAGCACGAGGAAGAACCCCCGCGACATCCTGGCTGTCCCTCGCCCAGCTATCAGCCACACAACAGCTGCCATCCTAACAATGACTGCATGGCGACATGACTGAGAGCCAATCTGTGACACACGGAGAGGCAGCGGCACGCTATGGTGGGAGGTAATGGAGAGAAGCGAGGTCAGAAAACACGAGTTAGTTCTGGGAAGGAGAGGAAGGAGGGGAGGAAAGAAGCAAAGGCTGCACACAGGGGAACGGAGGGAAATTCCAGACAGATGTTCCTGAGGCAGCATGTGCACGTCTGGCCTCGTGCCTGCTCCCTGACCTTCTCTGTTTTTTAAATGTATTTTTATTGATTTCAGAGACGAAGGAAAAGGGAGAGGGAAATAGAAACATCAGTGATGAGAGAGAGGCATCGATTGGCTGCCTCCTGCACCCCACCCCACCGGGGATTGAGCCGGGAACCTGGGCATGTGCCCTGACCAGAATCAAACCCGGGACCCTTCCGTCCCCAGGCTGATGCTCTAGCCACTGAGCCAGTGGACGGCAAACTCATTAGTCAACAGAGCCGAATATCAACAGTATAATGATTGACATTTGAGAGCCAAATTTTTAAAACTTAAACTTCTTCTAATGCCACTTCTTCAAAACAGACTCGCCCAGGCCGTGGAAGAGCCACACTCAAGGGGCCAAAGAGCTGCATGTGGCTCAGGAGCTGCAGTTTGCCAACCATGGCACTAAGCCAAACCAGCCAGAGCCTCCCTGACACTTTTATTTCATTGGTACAGACTTAGAAACAAATGACAGTGTAGGCTCTGGGCAGTTAGCTTCCTGACACAAGTTTAAAATACAAACTGTACACTTCAAACATATCCAAGGAGGCCGGATGCTCTCTGTTGAAAACTCGGTTTCCCACGAAGTTAGCAGGAGAAGGAGCTCGGTGCGTCCTGCCTGCGGTGATGAGCAGCAGCTTCGTCTCACCGGCCAGCCTGTACCTGCACAGGACACACCTCCGCCTGCTCCCCGCTGCGCCACCCCTCCACATGCAGCAGCACACGGCGGGGAGTGTTCTGTAGCGCATCAAAACCCAAACAGGGAAAGTTTCAAAGTCCCCGTCTGGAATGATAAACCCACAGATAAAGACTATCAGGCAGTGAACTACCCATGTCAGGGATTTTAAGTGAAAACTGTAATGTCTTTACACTTCAGAAATGTCTTCATTTAGGGTTAGGAAAAGTCCTTTACCCAATTCAAAAAGGAGAAGTGAGTTCCTGTTTTGACATATACCGTATTTTACACAGAACTTTCCAATGTTTAGGTAGGTGATTCCTCAAAAACCATCTCAATACCAAAATTCTGAGAGAGCAATCAGAATATGTAACATACTATGTGTACATATATGTTCATACACACATAAAACATCCCATAATAAAGATTAAAAAAAAAAAAAAAAAGGTGTACCCTTGGCTGGGTGGCTCAGTTGGTTGGAGGGTCATCCTGTAAGGTTGATGTCAACCATCATAAGGTTGCCCATTCCATTCTGGTCAGGGCACGTATAGGAAGCAACCGACTGATGTTTCTTTTTCACCTTGATATCTCTCCCTCCCTCTCTCTCTCTCTCTTTTACCCCCTCTCTAAAATCAACAAAATATATTCTCGGGCGAGGATTAAAAAATAATTCATAAAAAAGGTATAAAATGGTAAAAGGGGTAAAAACTACCAGCTATACTTTTAAGATAATAAACTGTCAGAGAATTTATCAGCAGTCCAATACCAATTCTGGTAGGTTAGTAAAAAGTGCTTTCTGGCAGCCGTCTACATCATGTCACCAGCATTTACACAGAATAAACGGCATCTACTTTGCTGATAAAGGAAAGCTTACTGCTTGGTGGATCTGAATGAATGAAGTTCAATCGAAGAAAGAAGGATGAGGATGAGGCAAATGACAAACAGATAAATAATCTCGAGCATACAATACAGGAAGCAGCAGATAGATAACTAGTAAGACCACTGAAACAGCTGAACCCGGAGCTAGTTCACTGGAACACAAACGTCTAGTCTAATGCCAAAGGTAGAAGGCGATGTTGTGTCAGTAACAAGGCATTCAGTGAATGCTGGCAAATTATGACATTGATAAGTATAAACACTAAATCTATTTTAGAAAATAACTGCCACAGTATAAGTTAAAGAGAACCTATAAACTAAGGCCAATACTCATCAATAATCTCACCCTTAGTGGCACTTATCAACAGAAATCTTATTTAATAGAATCATAACTAAACATATGCTAAGAGAAAATAAGCAATTTCCGGGCATAGTGTAGGCCAATGTGTGAACAGAAGCTATCGGTGATTTTATTAAGCGGGTGTTGTATTCATTAGCTGAATACCTTCAGGAACTGGGACTCTCCAACGCTTTGTGATAATTCACAAAGTTATGCTCCTCACACGTGGTCCCATCACTGGATTTTTAAACAGCAACCAAACAAAACAAAGCGCACAGGGGACGGGTGCACACTGCTCTTTCCTTCGGAGTAAAGCAGGAGTCTTTCGGAGGGAATACCTGGAATACTTGCAGGAGAGATGGGGCCTGACCGTGACTGGTTGCTTCCTACAGGCGAGCCCACCGGAGACGGCGACGGGCCCCCGGGGATGCCGGAGAGGTGGGGGGATGCGTGCGGGGAGAAAGGCGACTGGGCCGGGTTGCTCTGGTCCCCTTGGCTGCTCGTGGAGCCCGAAGCACTGACCGCGGAGCTCAGCGTTGCTTCCGTTCCCGTGGGGAGGTCGTCGATGGAGCCCGACAGGTCCTGCGGAAGGAAGACACAGCATGGATTTATAGAGGAACCTGCTCGGACCACCTCCTGGCCAAAACCATTTGGAAACCCGAACCACACCCTCAGCAATGAGCTTCCCAGGTAACATCCCAAATCCAGAGCATGGCCACTTGTTGCTAGGAAACTTGACTCTCGTAAGTTGAACCCTAAGACCTGATCTATCCTAGGAAGTGAGTACAGTGTACTCCATAAAACCATCCAACAAGCGCTGCTTTAAGCTGTCAGCTGGGCCAAACATTTTCAAATGACTCAAAAGGAAAAATCAAGAGTGCTATTTGGTGACATACAAGAAGTATCAGAAATTCCAATGTCTGTCCATCCGTGTCAGTGGCGCATGGCCATGCCATGCCTGTGCCTGTGCCTCGGGCCACAGGACGAGCAGTGACACAGCATGGCCTGCAAGCGGCGTCTCCTCCGTCCGGCCCGTGTGGGCCCAGGCAGAGCCGGGTTCCAGCACAGCCGCCCTGCGGGCCTTGCCTCAGGGAGGAGTGTGATTCTAGCCCGGCGTGCAGTGACCAGGGCCAGAGCACCCCCAGACGGGACTGAGCCCACCCCCTCTCCCCGGTAAGCGCCGGTGGGCCAGAGGGAATCTCTCGGAAGGCATCACCAGCCAGGGGCCCACGCAGAGATGCGCCTCCAGTGCCCAATGCGCACCAGTGAGGAACGAAGGCTCAATCAGACAAAAGCATCGGAGAGGAAATACGCTTTCTGTGCTCTTTTAGGGGAAAAGAATGGGTCCATAACTGGATATAAAACCATTCTCTTTTAGTACACCACATATGGAATTAAACATAGAAAAGAATTAACTTTAAAAAAATCATCAGATTTAATTAAAAATACTGAATTTATGTAAATCTTTCTTCATAAACACACATACACACACCCCAATTGTTACTTTAAAATTTTTAAAATTCTCTGCACAACCTATACATTCCTTCTTGTCCTCCCTTACAGCCTCGAGTTGTGGCTGAGAAAGCAGCTTGGGTGGCGCTAAGAGCGCCACTGAGGCACAGAGGCACCGCTGCTGTTCACCAGGCCGAGAGGAATTCCGGGGGAGCATAAAAGCGGGCTTCTCAGTGCTCCGTGCCATCAGGATTTCAGAGCTCACTAGTCTGCGCAACAGAGGAGCAGTAACGAGATAGAATCTATATTACCGTTACACACCGCGTAACTTTTCCATGTGAACTATGGAGAAGCGCCCCCGCCCTGCAGACATCAGGGTTTCCGTATGTATGTGTAGCTGTCTTACAACACGTGAATAAAAGAAGTTCAACAGCGGTTCAGACTTCTAGCCTCCTTCACAAAGAAGCTGTGTGACTAACACTCCTCCGGAGGACAATCGAGTCAGCAGGGCACCGCTCCATCCCTCCTTCGTGAGGACCAGCAGACCTGCACCCAACAGCACAGACCCACCATCCGCACCTGACCAGGGCACCTTCAAGCCGCACTGCTCCCATTTATCCTGAGGAGCAGCTGGCAGGTCAGGTGACTGCAGGGAGGACTCTTCTGGGGGCTGGAGTCCAGACCCTCGCATTCCTTATATCCTTCCTCTTCATAAGGAGTGATGGGGAAGCACAGACTTCCTGGGCTCATGCACAGTCAATTCAGTATTTGGCCATGACAATTTAATTCGGCAAAATTGGGTTTTTAATATCTGAATACAAATGCCTTTCACCACACCAAAAATAGTACAATTCCTACTACTAATGGTTCATTTATTTTTTAGAAAATCTGTGCCTTAAAAAAAGGTTGTTTACTTTAAAATTTAACTTAAATGAAAGATTTCTGCAAAGTCTTTTCTCTGTAACCATCATCCCTCCACTCTGCCCATGTAAAATGTCATTCTAACCCAAGTGCCACGTACAAGAGATCTCACTGTGCTTAGAATGAAACGCCCCTGGGAGCAATAGCAAGCCTATCAGATTCCGACCAGGGAAACACCTATGAATTAACAGAGCACCAAACACGTATGTTCCTGATTCAATGCAGTGGGGCAAGGCGTGGATGGCAGGGACACAGGAATGTACATGGGCACATGCCACCAAGAAGAATTTTTAAAGATCTTCCTATAAGTAAAATAGACATACAATATTAAGTATATAGATTGTATATGCTCATCCCTAAAAATTAACATTTATACATTACCACTTACTACCGTGAAAGACATCTTTGGTTTTGATGTTACTTGATTTAGCTAATAAGTTAGTTTATTCAAGTATAAAATCAGTCGCTGCTGGGAATGCCTGACTATCCTAAAGAGCTGGGAATAAGTTGGGAAATTCCACTCCCTTGCTTAATTAAATGAGTGGGCTTTTAAAAAAGCACATCGACTTCAAACACTCTGCGCTGTGGCATCATCTGGGAGCGCGCTGCCACGCTGCGCACACGTGGCATCTGCTCGGAGGGACCCGGGAGAGCGGCGGGTAAACACTGCATTAGGAGCCGGGATATTTCAATCAATGGGACCATGCAGGTCTCTTGGTAAGGGTTTTAATAGGATGCAGTTAATGGTTTCTCTGGTGACTTCCCTTGGGGCCGAGGCCCATGTTAAAGCGCCAGCCCAATGGTCTTTAGAGAAGTCTCTCATTCATTTTCAGAAGCAGAAATGATATCTCTCCTCCTTAGAATACTAAGTATGACATCCAGGTGTGTAGTTTCCTTTTTCTCTCTCCAACTAGCCCCACCTTTCTGAAGGGCGGTGACTGTGGGAGGTGTGGTGCTGAAGAGGACAGAGCTGACTGTCATGGCTGAATGTCACACTTTATAGAAACTACAGCTGCAAACACTACACCAGTAAGCCAGCACGTGTAAACATTTCTAAATATTTGCCACAAATGCTCTACTGAAAACTACTGACTTTGCTATTAAAATTTAGCAATGAATTCTCAGCCCTCTGTTTCCAATTACCATCCCGGAGGCCAAGCATCCAGTCTCATTAGATACTCAGTTCTCTAGAAACCACTTCATACCCCCAACCTTATTTCAGAGCTATCATTTGCACATGAGACACAAATACACCCTGAAATCGATATCAGAACTGAGCCAACAATTTGACTGACATGTACACACAAAAGGGAAAAAATTCAGGATGCCTGCTTCACTTGCATGATGCCGACAGGCTTCTTTCGGCACACACCTCTGTGTGATGTGATAAATAGTGTATTTCAGCACACACCCAGGAGTCCCTGCTGCCCTCCCTGGTCTAGACAGCAAATGACTTAAAAGCTTTGACTTCCTGTCTCAATGAACTAAAAAATTGCAAAGGCACAGAAAAACAGAATTTACGAGGAAAATCTTTTGAAACACCACTTTTTAGACTTAAACATCTTTCCAAGATGCTTTATATATCCTACTTTCTATTCAAACATGTGCAAATAACAAATATTTAACTCTTTGTCACATTTGACAATATGTTCAAGCATAGCCTTAAGATGTATGAGGTTAAGTGGAAAAAGAATGTTTGATGTTAATTTAAAACAGTGATAAGCAAACAATAAAATAAAATAAAGGCAGTCATAAGCTCCATAAAAATATTCATAAGCTCCACAAATGACAATCTCATATCCAAAGCCAGGGCTAACACAAGGACAATTACTGAGTAGATATTCACTGGAAGGGAGGTAATCATGAACCACTATTTGGGGAAATGCTCCCCACCCGATACACTTCCATTCTTTCTCAGGCAAACAGTCCAGTCTGGGAACTCATGTTAGGAGGCATTTATAGGCTGACCAGCTAACGTGATGCTTCACAGAAAAAGAATTCAGAGTGAAGCTTACTCTCCTAAGCAAAAATGGCTATACTTCCTTTGATTTTTAAAAACCAGCACCTGAAATTAAAAGCTAGCCTCCAAGGTCCCTGGTTAAACCTCCCCGTAGGAAATGTGCTGCGTTCTAAACTTAGCCTGGTAAACAACGTGAGTATGAAATATGCATCAATGTTTTTCCACTGCGCAGGTCTCAGGGGGACTCTAAATTATTCTGCTCTGAACTCTACCCGGGTTCTCCGCTCGCCCGCTAGTAGCTGTCTGGCTGTTGTAGGCTTGGAAGAACCACACAGACCCTTTCACACAGTCTGGCAGTCTTGAATTAAACATACTTTGGTCAGAACATGTATTTATAGTTTTCTCTTGGTTGTATGGAATTTGGGGCTAAGGTTCACCTGGAAATCACATGCCCTCTGGCCACACGCTGGGCCCACCCCACAATGGCCATGACAACGAGCATGGTCAGGACGGTTTTAGGCAACGACTGTGCCACACGGTGTTAGCGTAAGGTGGCCAAACATCCCACTTTTGGGGGACAGTCCCGATTTTTTAACAATTTGTCCCACGTCCCGCGGCGTTTTAAAAAAGTCCCAATTTTTGGAAAGATTCTTTTAAATCTTTTGGACTTTTTTAAAACGCCGCGGGACGCGGGACAAATTGTTAAAAATTGGGACTGTCCCGCCAAAAGTGGGACGTCTGGTCACCTTAATACGAATCGTGAAATGGCAGCTCTATGGGGCGGGAGACACACACACACACACACACACACACACACACACACACACACACACATCAGGCAGGTGCCTGGCTAAGGCTGCAGGTGGAGATGGTGCTTGGGTAGGAGGAGTGGGAAACGGTAGAGGGCAGCTTTTACACGAGACTACATTTATACAGCCTGTGGTCCTGAACACTACAATGTCCTCCTCTCACAGTCTCCATGGAGAGACACACAGCCAGCCAAGCAGCAGGGAGTGCGACGGGGATGCTGTGGACACGGAGAGTGTGTCTTCACCAGCCCCACTGGCCCAGCGCTGCCATCTGACAGCCCAGTCCGGGAGCGAGGAGGTACCCGTGGACAGGGGTGGGCAGAGGGAACCACGAGCAGAGGGCAGTGACATGCCCAGGGCAGGAGCAGCTTACACTGTCCGGACCAGGGAGCCACCGGAAGCCCAAAGGGAAGCTGTAATGCTGTTCCCCGAGAAGGAAG